ACATTTATTTTTATGAATTCAAACTCAAATAGTTGACCCCTGCTTGTTGCTGAAATTAAAGAGAGCATTTTACATCCATTTTGTGGGGCTGCGCTGCACGTTATACTGGCACTGATTATTATGTGTTTTGTTCTGGTTGGGATGGAAGGAAGTAAGGGCGGTTAACTATTCATGCACCACCTCCTAATGAATAAAAACAAGAAAATTGTTTCTATTCAAAGTTTATAATGATGATAAACTGCAATTTTTATAATAACATAGCTCTGAAAAACTTTATGAGATGTTGTTGCTTTATTGTCTTGCACCAGCTCCTGCTCAGGACTTTTCTCCGTCCTTTGTCTGTTCCCTCTTTGCGTTGGTGTCACATCACCGGACAGCTAATTTCACAAGGTAAAACTGTTATTCTCACTATACAGGTTCTCCAAGATGGTTCATCTCGTTCCTCTACCTAAATTACCTACAGCTAAGGAAATAGTATCCTGTCAAGAGAAGTGTTTCGCCCAAAAATGAATTCCCACTAACATTGTTACTGACAGAGGTCCCCAGTTTGTGGCAAAATAATGGAGAGAGTTCTGTTCATTGTTGGGGATCTCTGTCAGCCTGTCTTCTGGATTTCATCCAGACCGAGAGGGCCAACCTTCCCCTTTAAAACAATACTTTGCATGATCTGTGATTCTGATGCAACTAAGTGGTCTGAGTATCTGCCATGGGTTGAACATTCTATCAACTCCCTATCATCTAGTACCACTGCTCCCTCTTCGTTCTATGTAGTGTATGGATTTCAGCCATCGCTGTTCTCCATCCAGGAGAGAGAGGCCAGAGTCCCTTCTGCTCATATGATGGCGGTTAGGTGGTCTCTTCCATGCCAGTGGACATGGAGGAGAGCCAGAAGGACAATGACCCAAAGAATAGAGGCACAGTCCACTGTTATCATGTTCTGGAACCTCCTTATCAGGAGCATCAGAAGGTCTGGTTCTCCACCTGGGATTTGCCCCTAAAAGCGGTCAGCAGAAAAGTGGCACCTCCCTTCATAGGCCCATTCCCCATTTCCAAGATGGTGAATCTGGTGGCTGTTCGTCTGCAACTCCAAAAAAACATGAAAATACATCCCATATTCCATGATGTCAAGACATCAAGTTCTTGCCATGACTCCTCCCTTGGATTGCCCCTCTAATTCTCTCTGGAAATTGGCTTGAACCCTGGACCTGCTCACGGACCTCGCACCCTGGTTTGCCCTTTTACTATTCATTACTATTCATTTTGCTCTCACGGTTCTAACCAATGGAAATCCCCTGGACAAACCTTTAACTAATACGGAAGGATTCCCCGAAGACGCTTTGGAAGAACCTCAGGGACGTCACACACCAACTGGAGACACCAGTGATTCTCTGTGTTTGGATTCAAACCCTCGCCAAGTCTGTGATCCAGAGTTCTCTGTCTGACTTCATTCCACCGGTCATTTCCTGGTCACTAATATTCCCTCTCTCATACAGAGGTTGAGAGATCCAGCTCCGGTCTAAGACGAGTCTTTCACTTCCTGCTGCAGTTTTCTATACAATAAACCGTTACTCTATGTTCTGGCTAAACTCTGGGTCCTCAGATTGCATTTGTTAAAGACTCTTGGGCGGCGTATTGCCAAGTAACAGCAAAATGAAAGGGATATTTTTCTGGAAATATTTTTACATTTAAGGTCTTTTTATGTTTATATTGAATAAGCGCTAATATTGTTAAATCAAATATTCATATTTGAAAAAATACTAATTAAATATTACAATATTTGACAGAATTTATTTTTTTTCTTACACCTATAGTGAGGAGAGACACTTTTATTTTCTGTTTTGTATTAGTAAATATATGTGCATGGATCTTTTTTCTCTAAATGTTCCTGTAGTATTTGCCAGAAAGCCTCAATAAAAAGGTAAAATTTTATAGAGTAGCACCAGAAGGCTCCTTTAGGTGATGTTTTATGCATCCAGCTGTATGTTCCAAGAGGTTATTTTGAAAGAAAACCTGCTCCTTATCAATGCTAATGAGTAGAACATATCACTGAGGACCAGTCGCTTAAGAAGGTATGAGCATCACCCATCGGAAATGGAAACAGGCAACAAATCCAAGCATGCAGCCGTCTGCAAGGGGGCTTCAGATTGTTTCTTGAGGCAGGACCATCTGTTATAAAGAGAGTGAACCAAAGTATTGGAGAGTGTTTTTATGTATTTTATTCAGTATTGTAGAGTAACTTCAGATAATTTCCTAGAAGCAAAATGGAGATGAAACATCACAGCGCTGACTCACCAGAAGGGGCAGTGCATCCCAAGGAGAAAAAAAAAGAACCATCTCACTCATTTGTCGGGAAATGCTACTCATCCAGCTGTTACTCATAGTCTTCCTGAGTCCACTTATGACTTATGCTTTTTTGAGCACAAACTACTGGAATAAAGGAGGCTTCTAATGGAAAAACAATCACTAATATACTTCCTCATCCTCCCTAACGCTCCACAGAAACATCTGGCTCCTATTAACCCCCCACCCCACCAGCCCTGATTGGTTGTCATGCAGTTAATGTCTCCTGTGATGTTTATCTCAAGTCATGTCCCAGCTCTGTTATTACTAAAGGCAATATATTGGTACCATTTCCTACAATGGACATATATGACAGCCTCATCCCGTTGACCCAAGGAGCCGATGTCAAACAGATGAATGAAAATGTGTCTAAGTTTCATTAGATGAGGCATTTGGAGTGCTAACAACTATGCTAACACATATTTAAAGACATGTGAAGCATTTTCTCTAAAATTATTTTAGAAAATCCTCTTTATATTTATTCATTTGGATATAAAACATAATGCGTTGTAATTTTTCTTAAAATATAATCACTGCTGATCCATTTTCTTTCATTTCCTGTCATACACTCAAAAAGTTCTAAGTGTTTGGAAGAGAAGCCCACAGCATAAGGGATCCTCCACCATACCTTTCATTAGGAATAAGCACTTTTGCTTTTTTAAGCTCTTATCATGCTTCACAGCCGATCTGGTAATGTGCTGGTTGCAAAGACAATTCCAGATATTTACATTTGTGATACTAGGAGATAAGTCTATTCCCTTATGTTTAATCTATAGATCTACTTTGCTAAATTTTACTGAAACAAAATATAAACAGGTTGGTTTTGGTAAGGAAAAAGCAAGACACCAGACTGAATTCTGTACATGAAAATTGGCATTTAATTGAAACTTCTGTATCAAAAAATAGCAATATCCATCCTTCACACAACTCACACGGCTAAAAGTGAAATGTCTCATTTATAAGCTATGTGACAAAACTATAAAAACTGCTCTGCCTATTGTTTAGTTTGCCAAAGAACTTAAATTAATCTTGACATTACGTACACAAACCAAATGTATTACTCTGATACGTGGTCATTTAACATTACCAAGACTTTATTTCTTTAAAGTAATTAAATAACATTCAAATGCTCCGCTTAAATTTAAGTAAACTTTTTTTTTATTCTGCTTTACATTGACAACTGCTTCAGTGCATCCTCCACATCTCAGAAAAAAAAAGTTGAAATGTAAAAATAGGTTACAGGAATGCAAACCAAAGGCCAAGTGGGTTATGCCGATCTTTGTGTGTGTGTGGGGAGGGGGGGGATTTAGGCATAGACAATAAATAAATAAATAGCCACAGAGAGTGTGGAATGTCTACATGTTGATGAATAAATTAAATGCAAATGAAGAGAAAAAAAAAGATGTACACACAAAAAAAGAGAAAGAAAAATATAAAAACACACTGTACAATATTTGTAGGAAAAAAGAAAACTATTGAACCCATGAATATTGCATTGATTGTGCATCTAATCCCCAAACCCTTAGGGAGGCCAGGGGTGGGGTGGGGGGCATATGGCGTGAAGCAGTGAGATGGTGGGAGGCCCCACCCTGCAACAGCCATAAGTGAGAAAAGGGTGGTGGGAGAGGGTGTATGTTGACATTTTGTAGACATTCAGGGGGAAAAAAAACAACAAAACAGGATTTGGTTTCCAAAATACCTGTTCAGGCTATAGAGTGAATAAGCAGCGTTTACAGAGTTCGACAAGAGTGATTTCAAGTATTTTGTCGTAAGAAACAGCCCCCCCCAACCCCTTTATAACGTAACTCCACCTCCACGGCGTGGCTGCAGAGGCGTTGGCTTACAGTGATGGAGAGAAGAGGGGAACCAATACATAACAAAAATTCTTGTAGCCTCTTTCATCACATCACAGACACTCTACCCACCACACTGCAGGCCTCCCTAATGAGTCAACGATGAAAAAATAAAAAGCCCCCCCAAGAAAAGCAGCTTTCCAAAAAAAGGCACTCAAAAATCAAATTGAAAACATTTTAAATAAAAACTCTTTAAGCTCTATAAGAGCAGTCTGAATAGGAGGGCCTTGCCAGCTATATATATATATATATATATATATATACACACACATATATATATATATATATTAGCGTAATAATTTTAAAACAGGGAGGGGAAATAAATAGTGAAGTGAAGTGAAAGTGAAAGCCCTTTGGGAAACTCCTCCAACTCCCATTGTCATTGTGACACAGCGCACACAAGTGAACACTGCACACCATGAAATTGCATTTATGCCTCACCCGTGCAAGGGGGCAGCCCTCAATGGCGCCCCAAGGGAGCAGTGTGGCAGGACGGTACCATGCTCAGGGTACCTCAGTCATGGAGGAGGATGGGGGAGAGCGCTGGTTAATTACTCCCCACCAACCTGGCGGGTCGGGAGTCGAACCGGTAACCTTTGGGATCCAAGTCTGACACCCTAACCGCTCACCCACGACTGCCTATAGTGCTGGTAAGGCCACCCAAACAGCAAAATGTTCCCCATTTGGAAACAAGTATATTGAACAGAATAAGAAAAAAAAGGGGATGGGGACGAATAAGATAGAGTAACCAAATAAAATAAATTAGCAATTCCCTACAAAATAGAAAAACAAAAGTACTCTCATGTCTTGTTTTTTTTTTCCTTCTTTCTTGGCCAGATGAGTCAAGCACACGGCTGCTGACAGCTCCGAGTACAAGTCTGGATGACCTCTTTCCATCCCAACCCCTTCTTTCTTCACAAAGTCCATTCAGTTCATCAGAGCTGTGCTCAGAGGCTTTCCTTGCTTGAGCTTGTGCTTGACGAAGAGTCCGTGTCGATGGTTCTGAGACGGATCTCCCCTGCTGTGGGCTCCTCTGATGATTTGGGCGACTCCTCTGTGATTCTCATCCAGGGGTGGTCACAGATCTGCTCCAGAGTGGGCCGGTCGGATGGCCGCAGGCCTAGGCACCATTTGATCAGCTGTTGGCATTCTGAAAACAGAAAAATTAGTTGAGTCAAAGATAATCTTGACCATATGAGTTCAACCAAAATACCACATTAAACTTCAAAACTTTAATGTTATTTAAGTTTTATTGTAAATCTCTGTTTTTAATAGTATAAAGTTATGCTTTTTCACCTAAAAAAACACAAAAAGAACATTTCTGTAACGTTTTCCTGCCAATTTAGAATAATATTAGGCTTTACAAACAGGATTCTTTGAAACCAGTTTTGGATTTGTGTAATGTAAAACCAAAACTTTGTTTTCTCAAGGAAAAAAAAAATCTTGTTACAGGAGGATGTCATCCATGCAAGTACTGTCTCTGTATTCCCCTCTAAAAGCCTATACACCTGCTTGTATGCATGGATCTCCATCACTGTTGTACCAGTAAGTTATGTTAGAGGGCAATAGAGTCAAACCATGAACTTGTGTGTACCCACCAGCTGAGATTCGTCTTCTGAAGTAAAGCTTCCCCTTGAGGATTTCATCGTCCTGCTCGAAGGGGATGTCTCCACACACCATGTCGTACAGCAGCACACCTAGTGACCACACCGTGGCTGATCTGCCGTGGTATCTGTGGAAGCGGATCCACTCTGGTGGGCTGTAGACTCTTGTACCTGTTGGAAGGTGGATTTTAGTGAGAAGCAGCTTAAAAAAAAGTTGACACACACGAAAAAGAAAATAATAAAATCAGAGGATTTGAGAAGTCTTAGGAAGCCAAAGTGAAAGACTATATTTTCTCTTAAAAATAGAGTGTAAATTTCTTAGGCAATTACCCTCCTGCCCCCCCTTGTGGCGCCCCTTGCAAAACACCCAGGCAACGTGAGCCCATCACGTGAAGCCCCGTCTCTGGTTTCACAACAAACAGATGTGAGGTGGCACCGACCTAAGATCCACAACATCACCGTGACTCACGCTGCTATGACTACACCGTGATCGGAAATATTAAAAGTACATGAGAAATGTATTCATCATCGATTTCAATAAAAAAAAAAAAAAATCGATGAGTCACCCCGCGAATTTTCCCTTAGATCTGTCTAAAGCTGCGACATCATCCGGTTTGCGTCCCTGATATCCATACGCGGAGGGATGTTGGCGAGGAAAACCCTCCACCAAAAACAGAGCACTGCGTCACAGCCGCGTGAACGCCTCCGCGTCTGAATATAGCGCAGCCGGAGCATCAAGGGCAACTCAAAAAAGGAATGTAACATCCGACAATTATATAAAAGGCGGCTTACCATCGAAATCAGTGTAGACAGTGTCCTTGAGAATCGCCCCTGAGCCGAAATCAATAAGCTTGAGCTCCCCGGTGCGCAGGTCCACCAGCAGGTTTTCATCTTTGATGTCCCTGTGTACTACGCCGCAGCTGTAGCAGTGCCGCACCGCCTCCAGAACCTGGCGGAAAAAGCCCCGCGCCGTGTCCTCGTCCAGAGCTCCCTTTTCGGTGATAAAGTCAAACAGGTCCTTGACGAGCTCCGGCCTCTCCATAACGATTAGCCAGCCGTCGGTGCGCTCGTAATAGTCCAGCAGCTTTATAACTCCGCGGAAAGACGAGCTGACCTTCTTTAGCAGCAGGATCTCCAAAGGCACCATAGCTCCGTTCTGTAATATATATATAAAAAAAATGGCGGCGTTTAATATTAGAATAATTACACAGAACACCGCACCCAGCTGCAACGCGGGGAGGTGGTGGTGGATTGTGTGTGTGTGTGTGTGGGGGGGGGGGGGGGGGGACCAAAACAAACCATACACTTACAATTGTGCCCCACTCTGTCACGCGCTCCTTCGCGACATGTTTCACAGCAACCTGTAAAAAAGATAGAAATATTTAATAAATGTGAGTATTCAAACAGTGACTCGTATTAGAATCAAAAACCCAGATCGAATCCTTACCGGTGCGCCATCAGAGATCCGGTTCCCTGCATAAACCGTTCCGAATCCCCCGCTGCCGAGCACCGACCCCACTTGGTAAACCTTCTCGAAAGGCTCCTTCTCCACCTTGACTGTAAAGCGAAAAAGGAAATCTTAGAAACCAATCGGTCAATTTAATCTGAATAAGAAATCCAATATGGAAAGCGAAGCGCCGACATACCCGGCTGGAGCTGGATCTTCACTGGTAGGTGATCCATACTCGCGGGGTTGCAAATGTGCGAAAATGAACCGAACTTTGACAGCAACATATTCGAGCTGAAATATCCCGGTGTAAACGTCTCCTGATTTGCTTTTTTGTTTGTTTTTTGTCTCAGAAAAAAAAAAGCAAGAACAGTTGAAGGCTCAGTTAGAAACGGTGCTGAGGACCGTGTTGCCAATCCTGTCGAAGCTGTGCGCCAACTCCGGCCGCACACGGCGCCCGAAGAGAAAGTCGTGTCACGACCGTTAAGTCGCACACCGGCATCAAAATCCGACTCCCGCGTGTGGACGTTGAGTATTCCCGACAAAAAAAAAACAAACGATCTTGAAAATGAAGAAAATATCCGATATGAGACGATTAGAGCGAACGTACAAAGTGTACAGTGAGTTTAAAGGGGCCACAGCGGTGTGTTAATATCCCGGAGAGTGGCCGCTGTCTGTGCTTTGGCGCGGTCTTCCCAAGCCAATATTTTGACGCGTAACCTGGAGGAGCGTATCCCTCCGCCAACAACAAAAACCCTTTCTGCAGATTATTCCAACGTTGCGAGCTCAAAAGTTATAAATACAAATACTAAATAGACTATAGATCAAATTCTATCAGTCATAATTATTTTAAAATGAAAAGATTCATTAAAATTATAAATCTTTCAGGCGCCCTACTTTCTCATAGTACGAGACGCCGAAGAATCCCTTGTCTGGAATCATTGCGCTGTGTTATCCTCTCGACTCACAGGCGACAGCCAATTAGATCACGTCTATAAATACAGTGTTTTCTATCCTGACCAATCAGGAAAAGGTTTTCATAATAAAGCGGTCGTTTGAGCGCACGTGGCGCCAATTTCTCTCCCTCCCTCCCCTTCCGCTCTGCAGCTCTTTGCTGCAAGAGGAAAAGCAACACAAACCATGGCAGGAGGAGTAACTACACTCACTTAGGCTGTTTGTTTACTTTCTATTGAATAATTATTAACTTGAACATTTACAATGAATAGTTCAGACATTTTTAACCCAAAATTGGGTCGTATGTTTAACAAGTTACTTTTTTTATTAGTTTTCAGGCCACTTTTGTATAATTGAATGCAACATTACACAGTTGCATATTGTAATTATTGTCGTTATTAAACATTAAGAATAATACCAAAGATGTAGATAAATTGCAATTTTAACAAAACTCAGAGCAACTGAAGTAGATTAAAATTTGAAAAGTGTGGGATGCTTTTACTCTTAAGATGACTTTAATGAAATTCTTTCAGGGAAATATCTGGGCAAGCTTTGCATATCTAAATACTTTATTTTTTGCCCTTTATCCTTAACAAAATTAGCTGACTGGAGCTATTTTAGTCAGAATAAATGGAGGATGTATGAAGAACATTTTGATAAGGAATCTGGGTGGGCTGTAATGTTCTTGGATCTATGTCATTGGGTTATAGAGTAGATAGGTTTAGGCAAAATGTACTGTTTAAAGGCGAACCTTTGCGCTCACTTTAAATTCCTCTGCAGTGTCCAATAGGTTTTTCTCCAAGATGCCCTACATCAATTTTCTCATCATTTTGACCAGCCTCCCAGTTCCTGCTCAGGAAAACAAACCCATGTTTCCAAGCGAGGGACATCAGGTATAGTGTTTGTCATATAGGCTTGAAAATTTAATTTGGGTCCCCATCTGACCGTCCTTCATTCAACTCTTCCATATGGATCAGATTGGTGGGGGGATTACTAATAGTTTTCTTCTTAACAGATTCTCTAATCTGAGTTATCAATCTTTGCAGATTCACCTGAGTTACCACAGTCCTCTTGGCTGCCCTACCCCAAGCTTACCTAACCTCCTCAGTGACGCAGCTCAGTCAGATGAGCTTGGGATTCTCCTCAGTGGACTCACATGAAATCATTCTTAAACCATTCATTTGTGTTATTTTCAAAGTTTATTGATGATTCTTTAATGTGTAACTCAGCACAAATGCAGTAGCCTATTTTAAGAATGACACAGAAGAGCACTAAATCATGCATTTACTCATGCATGAAAAAACTAGTGTTTCACTGCATCATAACCACAATAGGAAGCATTTAGCAAAGTAATCAGAAGACTTGAGGAGCCATCTGTTCCGTTTAGTAAGCAAACGTTCCAGCTTTAATGTCAAACATTGAACATGACCTTGCCTCTCAGTGAACTTTCCAGTTTTTATCTTGTGCTACCTTTGATACCCTCTGTACATGAGAGAAAGTGTGTGTGTGTTGGTGAGTGACACTAGCTAGCCAAACAGAAGCATCAGAGACTTCCATGGAATGTTATATCTATAGGCCTCGAATGTTATGTAAATGTGCAAACACACACACATAGATATACACACATGCACAAGCTAAGAGAGCAGATTAACAGCCTATAGGCTAATCTGCAGAAATCCACCTCAAACAGTTGATCTGTAACTCTACTTTGTGTTAAAGTTCACTGGTTTAAATCTAACATTTGTATAGTTTTGCAATTTTAATGGTTTCAGGTTGTATGTGCAGTGCCCCCACTCACATACAGTATTGTCTTGATTTGCATTTTATTGGATATACTACCATGCGCATGCAGATTAAGTGCAGATATACGAAGGAACCTCAAGGGTTTGTTTGCTTTTATCTTATGATGAATTTGCATAAAGACGTTCAAAGGTTCAATGGATTATCCCTCAAAGAAAATGCATCCAAGTCTGGTTACCAAAATCCTGTTTCCTGAGGATATAATCACATACTCCACCTATCCTGCAGGATCCATCCATGATAATAAGGATCTTATGAATAATTGTTCAAAAGACCATATTCCCTTCAAACATATCCCTTTTCTCGAAGGGTTTTTAAACTCTTCTGGATCCTTGAACTTTGGCAGCCTTTTTACGCATGGCTTCCCCCACAGTCCAAACAAGTCAGAGCAGGTGAGCTGGAACTACTACTAACGCTGTTGCTCTGGGTTACTGGCTTATTTAAGTTTTGAATAAAGACACTCGGTTGAAAGATGTCTAGATCACTGTGGAGTGAATGCAATAAAGCTGGAACATTCCAAACGCATGTCCAAGAGATGGAATGAAATACTTTCTCTGGGTGTGCCTTCAGAGTGATAGAGCTATGCAAATCCAAAATGAAAAAAAACAACACACTGGAATGTACCATGTACAATTATATCATTTATTTATCATTAAGTCTCCTTTACAGTGGAGTTTACATTTTCTTTTTATATTGTTTTGCAACAGATTCTTAAACTTAATTAACTTTGAATGGGTCGTTTTATTTTACACTCCAAATTTCCACCTCCTACCCAGGTTTGCTATACAGTATATAGCCTTTCACAGGATTCCCCTTGATTTTAACTTCAGTGTTTTTTAGATTAACTTTGCCCAGCCTCCCTGCTGGAGAAGAGTACTTCCACAGCATGATGCTGCCACCGGCTCCCTGCTGTTAGAGACAAATGCTTTCATATGCACTTTACAGTTAAGTGGTACTTTGTGTCAGTGTTTTCTGAACTGCAACTAATTAGACTTAGACTTTCTTTATTGTCATTGCACAAAAAAACATAAGGTGAATCTTGACAACAAAATGTTGATTACTTGGCTACTAGTGTAACAGAGCTAAGACCTTATTCCTGCACAATAAATATGTTTTCTATAACTAAGAGCTAACTATATACAGGGTAAATAAGTATATATATATATACATATATATTGCACTCATATATTGCACTCAGAGTTATTGCAAGAAGAAACATCTGGAGGAGTGTTATGTGGCGTTAAGCAGTTAATATCAGTGCATATAGAGCATTTTAAATTGGGGTGGCAAAGCGAAATACATGAGAAATCCTTTATATCAAATGAAATTAAATAAACACATTTAAAAAAAATGCTATTGTGTCATTTTCTCTTCTGAGAAGCAATCACTTTTAGGTATAGACAAAACTAGAAAAAGAAATGTAACATAGTAACATATAACTTTTAGGAGAGCTTAAGGAGCTGAGCAGCAAAACTTCTCACAAAGGGAACCAACATCTCTGCACTGGAATGTATGCGACATCCTGGACTCCCTCTCAACCTTCCTCAAATCTTACAGTCTTTTCTTACATCTTATCCCTCAGGTTCTTAGCAAAATTTAAATTTCCCTTTCATTGTTATCTAGAATGTATAAGCATCAAGATTCAGAAAAAAACAGCCCTCTTATTACAGCAATAGAAAAACAGAAATTATTTATCACTTTCCCACAGGTAAAACAAGCATTTGTATTTGAAATGTTTCTCCTATGGCAGCCAGTTAATAAATTTGATCATGTGTATGGTCAAAAAGATATATTACAGTATATAGTGTATGTTTTTGGACATTTAAAAGCTCTAAATGGAATAAGTTGTTGTTTTATGTATTTTAAATACACAAAAGTAGAGGTGAAAATGTGATAATTCCTTTAACACCAACTATGATTTTATTTTTACCACACTGTCTGGATTTTCGACTGCTATTATCCAAATCATTAAGAGAGGATAAAACCAGAATGGGTCTTAAACAAGCTTCACTGAAGTTATGACTGTAATTATCTTCGCACTTGATTTGGTGAAATGCTTGAGGGGCAAGTCAGGCATCTATCCAAGCGCGCTGACAGCAGGAGCACAGACAGCCGATTTCACGTTGTTTGACACAAGCATGCACCATGCAGTTGCTTTCACATCTCATGGGAATTTCTCACCAATCATGTGGGTTATGGGCCTATTGATGAGCTCGCTCTATCTTGCCCAAGTTTTTGGCTCTTTCTTCATTTTTTGGATTTCAAGTTTTTTAATGCTTTTTTCTTCAAGCCCAGGACGCCCCACATTTGTTCTAATTGCTGCTTTACAAAACTGTGTCAGCAAGTGGGAACAGTTTTGATAAGAACTACGCCTCTCGTTTGCGTCTGTAATTTGATTTGGTCTCATCGGGGACATGTTAATCTGGAATCACCATAGCGTGCGTGGCCACAACATAGCCTGTAGTGGTATTTTTAGCTCCATTGCGATAGTCCATTGGCAGCCACATCATCTTGGTGAGCCACCATTTGAAACTGATCTGGGTTGGATAAGCAATGCTCTCTGCCAGGGAAATGTGAGGAACCAAATTTGTCGAGCCCCGTGCTGTGGTTGGCTCCCTAAACTTGTGAGTAGGGTGCACTCGTATCAAGTTCCCTGCAATCATGCTTACTGTGGCAGTGGCAGGATACTTATACAAGTGTGGCTTGCCTTGAAGAAGAACCTTTAATAGCATGAAGTAGTTTGACTGGGCCTTTAAGAAAAAAAACTAACCAGGTACCCAAACTTAGAAACTCTTACCATAATCCAATAAAAAGTAGTCAGTATTGTGAACTTTGAACACATTCCCTAAGAGCTCGGGTTACGGCCACTAGTTATGTTCTTAGCTTCCCAGCCAGGTTGCTTTATGGATTAGTGTCTGGACCCCACATTATGTAACAATG